GATCATCAAAATCTCTTCTCGCGATCAACAGGGTCTGATGCTCTCTAAAAGGCTCCTGTACTGGCAAAGGTAGTCCACAGGACTCATCAAGAGCTTCTGCAAAGAGCCTTATCAAGGCTCCTGCTGGGAGGCCTATTCGTTCATGTCCCACAAATGTACGCTTGATGTCTCCATAACTAAATGATGCTACTCCCTGCATCGGATGGTTGCAGACGTGCTCAAACCCAAGGAGCGCACACAGTGTATTAGGCGTACATCCGGGCGGGCAGTGAACAGCAACATGCTCCATGATTCCAGATAGCTCCAGCTGTATCACCAGAGGTAAGGAATCTTCTGCAGCTGTCTCATCGGTCAAGGCAACAACAACGACATCGTGTTCGTTTCGGCCGTTTCCTGCAATCTCAGTCATAGTTGGCTGTGGGAAGACAAATACAAAATGCACAGCAAGGACACCTTCGTCTTCAAAAGGCGAGATCAACTGAGTGGCCCACAGACCTGTCCTCCTCATCCAGATCGTGAATGGCTCACCTTGCAGCTGCCCATACCGAAGGAAGCTCCAGCCCATAATCTTTTTCTCCCAGATGCCATTTTCTCTAGATCTGAAGTGCTCGTACACAACATCAACTCCCAATTCTTGCCAAGCCTGCGTCAACTCCCTACGTGTGAGACGTAGCGTTTTAATGTATGGCAGGCCCCGTTCACACGCTACTGCAAAAGGCACAAAAGATGCCGTCGCAACTGTTCGCTGCATAAAGCAAGTAGCATCATCATTGTCGCCTGTCTGTCCCATCAAACTGGAGCTTTGGCCAGAATAAAGAGGAGTTGCAGTGTTTTCTCCTGACATGGCCTCAAAAGGTCCAGGCCACTGTCCGCTCATCTGCACATGGTGTGTGTCTGAACCTAGACTTGATGCATCACTTGAAGCCGAAGACGCAGTATATAGTCCCTCCGATGTGCCAACACTGGTCCCATCAGGGTCAGCAATCGGCACAAAAACCTGTTGGTGCGGAGGTATCCTTTCCAGGAAAGTGATGGCGATTCCAGAATACAATGGCACAATTTGCTCCCAGTTGTATACTCTTCGTCCAATGATTATGCTACATTCAGACACCCAGACGCATTGGACATGCGGCAGTCGTGCAGCAAAAAGCTCATGGACAAAAGGAAATCGGGGAACCATGTACATAAATGTGCCTTGCCAGTTCTCTGACAGTATGTCCACAGTAGCTAGGACCCCTATCCAGCTTTCAGGGCAAACAGTGAGCAGAAGAAAAGTTACTTCATGCTCCACAGGGCGAACTGGAACAAGTTGTGCTTGTGGCCTGACCTGGAAATCTCGCCATTGGCCGACGATCTGCGGCCGGACTTGTCGGTTCAAAGCAATCTCGTGCCTTCTATATGTAGAAGACCACATCTCTCTTCGGTCCCACGTGTGTAGCCAGACAGTAACAACCGTCCGAGCCACTCCAAGGCTCTCCAGTACAAAATCCAGAGCCGGATCAAGCACATATGGGGTCACAGAATTCTGCATCAAACTATTCAAATCCTCCATGGTGGGCTCGTGATCTTGCTCGGTCCATGTTCGGACATGCAGATGGCAAAACTCACCACTAACCTTTGGCAAAGTCTTTTCGCGAAATGAAACAAAATGCTCTCTATGCCTAATCACATCGGTCCTTAGGAGCGATCGAATTGGGTCGAGCCTCGAGAGCATACATGAATGATACGACAAGGTCGCATCCGATGAGGACTCTCCTACCTGTTTCACAATCAAAACAGGCCAGTCCCATGGTCTAGAAAACTTGTAGACTAGGTAATGCAACTGGTCATGATCAAAATCATACTCGGTAGGTTGCGGCCTCACAATGACATACTCACAAAAGGCATCGTCACATTGGTCCTTCCATAGCTCTGTGAAAAGCGGTTGCAATTCAACTAGATCAGTACGTGGAAGGAAAGTATGTCTTGGCGCCATTGAACATGATGATCGTCCGGCAAACCAGACCTGCACTTTCTGACACCCTGGCCATCTTTGAGAATGTTCATTGCAAGCGGGGCAGGAGGGCAGCCGCGCTTGAACCGATCTTTGGACAAAGCTAATCTCCTGCTCTTGGAAATCGACGATACAATTTCGGGAGGCCCCACAAACAGGCATCTGAGTATTTGTTACGTCAAGAGCCCCAAAAAGTGGGAAAAATTCATGCACAGCACAGAGCTCGTACTGGTTGTCGAGTCGTGCACGGAGGCAAAAAGGGGGCTCCACCTGCCCATCTGGCAGCTCGGAAAAGGGACATGTTTGCCTTTTTCCGCAAAACAGGGAGAAATCCTTCCAGCTCCGGGGACTTGAGGACCGATCATCAACGGTCGCATACGAAGTCAGCTCGTCAAGTCTACCTGGCTGCTTCTTCCCTTTACTGGCCTCAGAGAGGCCCGATTCTAGCTTTTGTCCATGCGAATGCTCTATGATGGAGATGCCCTCAGCTCCTCCAAGGAGTAGGAGGAAAAAGGCTACAGTCCATCTCCGTTTCTTACAGGGTCTCTCATGGCTAGGTTGTCTGGAGCCCCCAACAAAACTGCTGCGTCCTGGCAAAGGTCTTGGAAAAGCTCGTTCCTCGCGAAACCTCCCAACGATGCCAAGTAAAGCACAGCATAAAGCGAAAAGATTCACATAGAAAGTGCCTAGTAAGATTTGGACTCCACCGAAGCTGCGAAACCCCTGCTCATCATCACCAGCCAGCTCCAGGATAAAACCATTGCAAAGGACAGTCAAAACCTGCCAAAGAATGAATCCCGCATATCCAGAAGCATGAGGCCAGATATATAGGCACTTCCTGACTCGTCGTGAGGCCATCAAATTGTGCACTACATCCGGAAATGCACAAGAGGCCCGATTGGCAAAGAATATCCAACATAGGATGAAAGGCTTATACCCCAACTCTGCAGCACATAGGGGAAAATATCAGCATTCCACTCACGTGGGAGCCAACAAGCAGCAGAAACAAGGCTTGCTTTCCATTCCTCATAAATTTTGAAGCATCCCTCCGCACCATATCCATAGAGTTCAGCTCGGTAACATCCAAAAGCCGCAGTCTCATCAAAGGCCGTCCACTGTACGAAATAGCACAGGCCAGCTGATAAGAGCAACGAAAGCAAGGTGTAGGCTTCAAATGGCCATACACCGGGGCTTACCACACAACCAGAAAATCCGATATTGGGTAAGACACTAGAAAAAGAAACCTCCAAACTTAGTGTACCAAGGAGCGAAAAGCAGCCTTCAAACATGGCGCTATACATGCCTCCTCTGGTTGAAGACACTAGGACATCAAGTCCATGTTGACTCTCGAACCACCATCCGGGGTCTTGGCGTTCTCCTTTTCTGACCGGGTTGGAGTAGTGTACGGCCCCATCTTGTCCTTCCCGTTGAAGCGCCGGAAAGGGCGACAAGGATGCTCCAGCGCAATAGGAAGGTCTGACCCTGCTTCCTTTAGGCTTGTACCATTGAGGCAAGGTGCAAATGTTCCACCTTCTGCTTTGCCTTCTTCCAGTGGCATATTCGCCATCCGAGGCACAGGAGCTGCAATTTCCTGCTTTGGCTGCAGCTTCTGTATCAGCGCAAGAGCCGACTCCCATGTCACATAGTTCGCAGGATTTGTGGTGATCGCCTGCAATACTCTCTGCTGGTCTCTCTCCGTGAGCACAGACATTTCCTCTTCCAAGTCCTCGTACTTGTATTGAAGCTCGGCTTGTGGTTCTAGATGCCTGGATCTTTTGGAAGGAGTTCGAGACCGTCCTCTCTTCCTCTCTGGGCTGTAGCTCTTGGACTCCTCCTTGATCTGCGTCCCAATTGTCTTGGGTATCTTGACTTCTTGCTTTGGAGATGAGTTGGGAATGTCTCCTACAAGGGATGACCCCTGTATCGCACCAATGAGCTGTGACATTTGCGCCTGCATCGCATCGAACATCTGCGCATTGCGCACCTCCAGCTGAGTGGTGTACTCCGCATACTCTTGGAAACGACTTTTGATTTGTCTCAACTCCTGTTTGAGCTTGTTGGTCTCTTGACGTTGCTCTTCCCCATCGGAATCGATCACCAACATCTCGGGGTCCGACTCTCCATCTTTCGTTTTCTCGAGCCGTTTCAATTCCTCCTGCAGCTCTGCCATCGCACCAGAATAGCGCTTTTCTTCCTTTCGCACTCCTTCGGAGATTGAGTCTTTCCAAGACCGGAAGTCCACCTCTTTCTGTGCCATGTCTTCCTTCACTTTGCAAAGCCTGTTGAGGGCCTTTCTCTCGGCATTCAACTCCTTCTGCTTGGCCTTCAGCTGCTCTCGAGGGTCTTCTTTGACTAAGTCGATCACCTCCTTCGGGACGTCTTTCACCGTATCTTTCTGCATCAAATTTCGCATAGTTTCTTTGAGCTTTTGGTTCTCCTCCTTCAGCTGTGCTTCCTGCGACCCAGCATACCATCCATGCGAGGATGAACCACTTTCTCCTTCGAACTCGATGCGGCGACCATCGTACCCGACCATGAACACCTTGCCATCCTTTGTGTTCTTGGTGTCTTTCTTTCGGCCCTTCGGAACACTCCATTGGGACTGATCCCAAAACCAATCCTTTCCCTTTTTCCATGGCATCCTAATTGTGTATCGTCGCGAGAAACTATAGGTCGGTGCAGAATGATGGTTTTGCAGCAGATGCACCGCTTTTCGAACTCGCAGAAGCTGCTGGTGGGTCCACACCTTCTTCCAGCGCAGGGAATGGATGGTGTTCCGAGCTCGGCTTCTTCTCTTCCTCGCCCTTCTGTGCCAACCAGGGGAACCAGGTATGGCTGCGACAGCGAGTGAAAGAAAAACGTGCAATGCACGATTGGGGCACTAACTCTTCCACTAGGTGGCTATGTTTGAGCCCTGCGTCCTTGCTCCTAGTAATAAACCTGCTTCTATTTGAACTCTGATGAATCATCAAACCTGATCATTAAATCTGATTCAAACGAAACTGAGGGCAAGGGCATCTCGAAGTGGTGCAATGGCGACTTGGAGGAGTTTTTGGCCTCCAAGGTTTGATGTGGACAATATGCAGTGTGGTCTTCGAATTTGATTTGACCGAGGTTACTTGAACATCAAGTTCCAGTCGACCTCCAAACCAAGGACAGCGCAAAATGGATGTTTGGTGAAAATGCGAAGGAGGAACTGACGAAAGGAACCGAAAATCACTGTGAAGGCACGCATAGGGCACCGAAGGCATCTTGGGTGCAACAAACCGCAGGACGAGACCACACCGTTTCAGCTTGCAGCTTGGGGTGGACATGTGCACGTTTGCCAGTGGTTGCTTTTGCAAAAGGCGTGGAATTGAGTCGGACTCATTTGTTGTCATAGACCTCTGAAACGTTTGAGTCTGGGATCATCCCGCAGAATAGATTCCACCGTGGTGCTTTGTGAGCTTCACCTCTGGAATCCGGTTCTTCTTGTTGAAAGCGACAAGGCAATTGAGGATCAGAAGTGTCTTTTTTTTGTCGCAAGGATCCTTTTGGAATGCAAAGTTCAGGCCAACCTGAATCATCGCAATTCTTGGTATTGCTTGGCCCATCACTTCGCAGCCTTAGCAGGAGCAGTTTTGAAACGGGTGTGAAGGTCAAGTTGAAAGGGTGTGTGTTTCAAACGGATGTTCCCAAACCGGTGGAGTCACTGGTTTGAAGGAATGACTGAATGCTGCAAATGGCTTCAAGAGCAGCGGGTTGACCTGGGTGCCACCAACAACCAAGGCCAGAAATAGTGACAAGAAGTAAGACTTGTAAAGAGCATGAAAGGCTGTTTGCTTAGAAAAGAAAGAAAGACCTTAAGAAAAGAGCAGAAAAGAAATCAAACTTGTCTTTCTGAAGCAAAGGGTAAGGCCTCCTTCAAAGGAAGCTTAGTATTCTGCGATTCGATTTTTTGAGGCCACAATGCTTTGCACAAAGCTGCATACGGTGGCCACGCAGAGCTTTGCAAGTGGCTCCAGGTGCTTCATGGAAGCTGTTGCAAGTGGAAGTCTCATTTCTTGTTTGAACGCTCTTATCCCAAGTTTTGCACATTTCAGCCGTGCATGTAAACAGCTCATTTATAAGCTAGACACCTCCGCGCGAAGATTTCTGAGCTGAAGGACGAGGCAACTTTAGATCCTGAACAGCCAGATGCCAGGCGAAAGGAATTAGAGCTTGTCTTCCCTCATCCCTTTGGAGCTGAATTTATCTGGAAGACGTTAAGAGTTAGGAACGAAAAGGAGGACGCTACTAGGAACAAAGAGCATCGCTACTAATAGCAAGGACGCTACTAATAGCTCCAAGAAGCTACTAGGAGCAAGAGCTACGGGAGAAAACAGAAGGTGCTGTGATGAAGATCCATTGCTTGATCTGCTGCCAGGGGCCAAAGCTGCTTTGCATTGGCAAGGAAGGCTGGATTCCAGGCACGGATGGAAAAGCCGTCATTTTATCAGCACAAGAAACCTCAATTCTGCATGCAGGATTTGATTGATCAAGGATGGCTTCGCAAAAATTTACAAATAATATAAGATAAATGCATCGAAGTGGATACAGTTTTGGTACTTTGCCGTGCGATCGCATGGGTGGATAGGCTTGTGCACAGATGTGCGAGTCTTTGCGAGAAACTGAACAATCATTTGTGTTGGATGGCAAGACCACATCGATACTTTTTCCATCCAAGTGGTTTGTTACTTTATTGAAAAGTGAACTTGCTTTGGTAGTGTGACTGTTCTTGGCACCGTGTCTTCCACTGGGACGCGAGGGAACAGGGCAAAAGGTTGCTGTCACGGATGATAAAGTTGGGGTTTCCTACGGGAGCATAGAAGAAGAGGCCACGGAGTCGTTTGAAGAAATTTGAGCTTCCGTGTTGAACTCGTGGTATTTTAAACTAACAGCATCCTCACCATCGCATAGCATGGTGACACAGAGCTCTTCACTTCTCTTTCTTGTAGGGATGCTGTCCGCAGGTATCCGAATACCATATGAAGCGCTGTCAAGCATACTACCTAAGTTTCTGTTGTGCCATCCAGGGTGATCGTATGCACGAGTTTTTTTGCAGGCGAAATGATGCCATCTGGATTACACGTCAGCAGCGTCCCACTGTGTATGCACGAGTGCTGTTGATTAGTGCCCAACTTGATACTAGCCGCGTATGTTGTTTCTTACCAATAGGAATAATATTTTTGAATGTGATTCGATAGTTTTTAGACAAATTATAGATTTCAAGAAATCAATATGTGGCATTCCATGGCCATGTTCCTTTACCAGCTCATGAACAGAGAACCTCAGCTTTTTCTTTGATGATTCCCATTGATGTGACCACAAATAGACAAAGTGACGCTAAGTCAGACAGGAAAGACATATGTTGTACCTGCAATCAAAACTAACACCGGATTGCAGAGAACAGGATATGTCAGCAATTTTTTGCACTGAACCCTTGAATCAGATTGCCAAAGTTTGACCCATCCAGCTTGACACCTGCGATTGTTGTCTTCAGCCATTGCTGCTCAACCTGCACAAGATCAAGCCACCTAACTAGGCTCGCAAACAAGTTCAGATTTTGCTTGATACTTGTGTTTATTCAGTGTATACACAAGTAATGGGTTACAACAGGAGGAGCCAGGCTCTTGCAGGGAAGCCACCAGCATCCAAGTCTTGCCTGCTCCAATGTGGTGCTGGAGCAGATCTAGCTCAATATTGGGTTCAAGCATGGGCACTTTGCATCGATGGTGGGTCTCTTTCTCCATTTCCACGCGAGATTGACAGTCTGTGTTTCATGATGTTGCATAATTCCGAACCAAGAAATGGGAACAGCAACTCACTTCTGACTATCAAACGCTTTGGCGTGCCAAGTGGCCTGGAACTTGGCGGCTTGGATCAGAAAGGAACATGACAGACATCAAACTGATGTCCCTTCATTGACATCCAAGGGTTGCGAAGGCTCATGTTTTGACCCGCAAAAATTCCTAGTCAAGGTGGGCTCACAAGAGGTTCAAGCAGGTTCCGGACTGCTTGCCGCGAGGACCAGAAAGGATCACAGCCATTTCTGGCAGAGACTGAAGGGTCAGTTTGGCAACAAGACCGTGAGAGAAGCATGATCATCCTCCCTTCGTTTATACTGACGTGAAAGTTGTAGTATTTCGCAGGGTGTTCTGTAGTTGCCGACAAGTCTTTTTGCAAGCAAGCATATTGCATCCCCATCCTGGCACTGTCATTCTCATGTCTCTTTGAAACTACGTGCCTTGAAACCACCAGACAATCTCAAAGAACAAGACTGGAAGCAGATTTTCCTTTTGAAGGTTGCCATTATTGAAGTTCTCCGCATCCAAGGGCATGGGTCGAATGTTCATCAATCTCCACGAAAACCGTCCAACCCAAGTAAGTGTGGGTCTTTCTGAGGTACCGCACCAATTGGGCTGCAGGGCTGCCTGGCAAAATGGAAGTGCTTGGAAATGCATTTCTAGGAGGACCTCTCACAAAGAACCAAGGCACCACGGTACTTTCGATGATATGCCATGCATGGAGCACACGGGGATGTTATCTTGTTGCCTGATGAGTGTGTCCGTTGCTTTCGCATTCAAGAAATGCACTGGTTTCCTTTGCTCGAGTTTTTGGGGCATATTTTGTTGATAATGCTTGCGCTCTCAAACAGACTCGTCTAAACGTTGGTTTTGACATACCTATGCCAGGGCTTCACTCGGATTGCGAGAGGGTCTTACAAATGAATCATTGTCCATCCATCCTTTTCAATGATTATCTATCTCTACACTTTGACGTGCTTCTCAGTTGGAGTCTGGGGTTATCGACACCAAGGCTTTTGAGCCCAACAAGGTCATGAAGGTGCCATTTGCAGACCGATCGTCGTACGTTCTTTTGACGGTTTGGGACCGTTGAAATACTTCAGGTCCGGTTTCAAGTTACAACAGACTAAAACTTCTGTGATCGATTGGCAACTGCTCGAGCTCTAATTTCTTGACAATAGTGTTAGAGCGCAGAGCGCACAAAGTGCTCATAGCTTGCCTCACGCTTGCGTCACTCCAATCCTTTGCCATGACCACACTCTTTGCCTGGTTCCTGGCTCTTTGCTTGGCTCATGGGGCAATTGCGGATGAGAACATTCCGGAGGCACTTGATGCTGATGATCAGTGCACTTTGCCGGGCTGCGCAGTGAATGCGCTTCAGCTCCATGTGAGGGGCCCTGTGGAGCCTGTGGGGCTGCTGTCCCTGAATGCGACAGAGGAGGAGCTGATGGAATGGCACCAAGACTACTATGGACACAAGCCGCGCGCGGACATTTCGGTCGCCAACTACAAGAGCCTCATGCAAAACATCAGCGTTCAGCAGAAGGCGATCTTGGCTCTTTGGAATAGAAGTGTGAAGCTCGAAGAAGAAGTTCATGCATTGGTGCAGCAGGTCCAGCACGATTCAGGACTAAAGGTTGCAGATTACATAGCGCTTGTGGAAGATGCTGATATGCCCTCACGAGAGCAAGCCCAAGAGAATCAGCCAAGAGAAGCCCACGTAAAAAAGTGGATAAGATACTTGCCAGATGTTCAATTGTTTTCAATTGTTCCCATTACTATTTGGGATGTTGATCCAATATTTATCAGGGGGGTGCAACCACCAACCAGCTGAGTATTGCTGTGCCTTGACTTCCCAGTATCTGTTCTGGGCAGCTTGAGTCAGTCGAATGTTGCTTATACTATTCAAGGTGTGGCATTGTCCTGTTTAACGGAGGCAACTATAACTACGATTCCTATGATTCCTTTTTTTTCGTTTTGATTCTGCTCAGGCTACATGGATCAGGAGATGGGTGCCGTTTTCAGGAAGTTGAACTCGAATGGCCAACAGGTAGCTGCCGCCGGAACTCTGATGAGCAAGAATCCGATTCCACTGAAGCTGCAGAAGCACCCTGTCACAATATGTGTCCGCTTTTTCTTTAAAGTGTAGATCATAGATGAGAATGCACCCAGGTCCATGTCCTTTTTCTTGCATGAGAATGCACCCTTTTTCAGCAGTTTACTCCTCAGCCGACGAAGGCAAACAATGGACTCTTTGCTTCAGACGGATCCTACAATGCCAGGAGATCACATCGGCATAGGCGATGAGCTTTGGAGAAGTGTCATGGAGATCATCACCAATATCCACACAGCCAACAAGTCACCCGAAAAAACAAGTCCAAGAGAGGAAGAAAAGAAGGTAAGGGCCCCTTTTAATGGGGCTTAGTGGCTCACCTTCTTTTTTTCCTAGGTTTCACATGCAGATCTCTCCTTCCGTTTTTAAGAAATATCAAAGCGGGGTTGCGCCATAGTGTTGAAGCTGGTGAAGCTGCTGTCGCTCGAAGGTCAGCCAACGACCTCAAGGATCACATCCAAAAGGTCAATAAGATGATTGTTGACTTCAACGAAGGAAAGCTGATTCCCAATGAGGGCATGGATGGCACTGGCAAGTGACATCTTGCGGTGTAGAAACTGCAGTTTTCGCTTCACCTGCCAAGACTCGAAGCCAGAGTGATCAAGTCAGGATAACCTGTCAATGGAATGGGCATTCCTGGAAGTTGGTCAAGGGTTGGAGGCTAGAACAACATAGTCTCGAGAAGCAAAAAGAGAGTGAAAACAGTTTTGAGAAGAGGAAAGAAACAAAACAACAAACAGATGGTAAAATAGCTTGAATCTGACTGCCCAATGAAGCCCTTTGCAGGCTTTATAGTGCAAATACGGCTTGTGATATTGTAGGGGTCAATGACCAAGATCCAGTGAACAATCGTCCATGAAACGAACCATTCGCCAGGTGGCGCGACCTTGATGAAGTCGGTTGTGGAGTTTGGGACTTGTTATTTTTGTATTGATTTATTTTGAAATTGCATTTTTGCAATTTGCTCACGAACGAGCTTTTAGCACGTTTAGGTCTCACTCTTGAGTGCTGCTTTTGTTTAGTTGGATTATTAAACAAAGTTTCGAAGAAAGAGAGCATTCTAACCATATGCATGAATTTATATGAATCATTAGTAAAAGTGATTATGGTATGGGTATTTTAATTTGTAATGTTTTGATTCTGGTTTCAATTACGAAAGGTAATTGATAAATTAATTTGGATTGGTCGAATTATATTTTTTAATATTAATATATTTATTCGATATAATATATTTTTTCGATTTTATATTAAAAGAAATTGTGAAAACACGGAAGGTATGGAGTGTCGTATTTTGTTCGGTCGAATCGTTCGAAGTGTTCGACGGCAATCGAGTTGAAGAAACGCTTCTTTCTCTTATTTACATAGCTTGTTATATAGAAAGCTTAAGAGGGCCCGCCCCCTTTTGGGGATTCGATCGGAGTGATAGCGGATATTTCGTGTTAAAAGTTACGGGAGCTACGAATTAATATGTTTTGAGGCTCGAAACTCCTATCGGTGGTTATTTATAGATATTTTTATTTTAGGAAAGCTTCGATGGCGTAAAATGCGTAGGCATCTTTAATTTTTTAGTTGATTTTTGTTAGTTGAAATTAATTTTTGATATTCTAGGGAGTTATGGAATGATTTTTTTTTTGGTCGTTTATACGACCCTTGACGTGTAATAATTTTTAATTTTATTTATTTTTTTTTTTAGAAATTGGACTTGTGTAAATCTTCTTCTGCTTCGATGACGTGCTTTTTTAGATTTATTTCTTTTATTTGCGCCGTGTATTGCGCTTGGAGTTCGAAGAGTTTCGTTTTTTGATTTTTGGTTATGTTTTGGAGTCGTATATTTTTATCTCGGAAGAGGCGAATTATTTTTTTTATTTTTGTGTCGATTTGGGTTCCGATTTGTGAAGAGCTCGAAATGGTATTTAGTGATATAGAGATTTTGAAATACCGCTAAATGAATATATTAAAAATGATGATATAGAGTATTAAGGTTACCTTAGGTAAAAGGAGGAATGCTAAAATGTCTTTAATCGCTATGGCTTTTATACTAATTATTTATGAAGTGAGAATTGTAAATGTTAGCTGCTGTTTCGTATTGTTAGTTCTGGAGTTTGTTTGCCTTTTAGCTTGCGATTTTTTCTTCGTCGCTTGGAAGATTATATTCGACTGGAGGGAAAGGTAATGAAATCGTAACCGATCTGCAATTAATTGTCTTGTACTGTGCTTGGTGACTCTGTCGGTTATTTGGGCTTCCGACGATACCTACTGCAGGCGGGTCTTCGTTCCTACCATTTTCTGCTTTGTCACCATGATTTCGATCTTGGTGCGCTTGTCGCTTGGAGGCTAGGTGTCTTAGCCTTCAAGGAGTTGTGTAGAGCTTTGACGTCCACAACCAATGCCGATGCCATCTTAGGAACAAAGCTGTCCATTTGGCGGAGCTGAAAGTCATAGCGGATGTAACTTTCCTAGAAAATTAAGAAACATTTTAGAATATCTATCATTGCAGACGAGGATTGACTTTCGGTATTGAGGGAGGATCGGCTGATTCGAGGCAGCTTGAAGTTGCGCTAGTCCAGAATGATGTAATCCTGGGTGGAGCCATCTTCCATTGCTTGCTCGTTGCAGAGAAAAGTCAAATAATCGCCCTGTGCCTCATTATTTCCGCGCACTCCCCAAATTGCGTCGCTCATTGCGACCATGCACAACTTTTCCATATCGCCTACAAGATCTCGAAAGATTAATGCTGTGTCGCCGTTGGACTTGGCGAACCTGAGAACTTTGTTGGCCTGGGACGCTATTTCGCCAATTGCTGTGGTGACTTCTCCACATAGCAAGGACACCGAAGCACTGAGGTAAGCAGATGTCTGTGTAGTTGGCCATTGAAGTGCTTCCAACGAAGCTCGAAGACAGCTCTGCTCTTTGGAATTGAGGTTGCGATTGGAGTCATAGTCGGTGTATGTCATCGGTTTCACTCCTTTGAGGTATTCAGCCTGATATAGCTTGGATTCCGTGATTGTTCGATTGAGGTGGCAACCACAAAACTCCAGAGGCTTGTCCTCGGTCTCCTCAATCTAGTGCTTGAAGTTGAAGGCATCTTTTATACTTAGGGTGGCCATCTTTTCCATAACCTAGTAGGTTATCAACATGTAGACCAACCAGGGAAATCAGTTGCTTGTTGGAGTCGTGGAAGGTGTGGAGGCATTGATCTAAGGCATGAGCTCTGAAGCCAAGGTTCTCCAAACGTCTGCGGGCGACAATGAATCATTGTTTTGGAGTGTCAACTTGGCTATATATTGGCTTGATCAACCATCAAGGTTCCAGGAGCCATACCGATGATCTCGAGGCATCCTTTGGGATCTTGGCCCACAAGGCCCCTTCTTGAGGATCTCCTTGGAGAAAAGTTGTGGACACATCAGCCGTCCATCTTCCCCAATGATTGATCTGGCTGATTGCCAGGAACACTTGTCTTTAGGTTCGTGCCAAAGTCGGGGACGATGTGTCAAGTGATCCTTGAAGAAGGTCAGGATCGGAGAATCCTTGGAGTACGAGTCTGGTTTTTGCTTTCAGGCCGCCTTTTCCATCCGCCATTTTAGGGCAAAGCGAGCTTTCATCACCCTGTTGTGGTCAACTGAGGTGGCGTCCATCTCAATTTCCCAGACATCATTTTCCAAGATGCTGGTCTGTTCGGCTCTTTGCCCTCAAGGAAGGCGAGCCTGTCCTCCAAGGTCATGCGACGCTCGCTGAGATCAGCACTTTCCTCCACATTCTTCTTCTTGGGATTCCCGCTCCGACCGCTTGCGATCTCGTTGCAGAAGGTGAACAGCACGCTAAGCCGCATTTCGTGTTGTGTGATACGGCACTCAGACAGGCAAAAAGTCGAAATTTGTCACAAAAAGGAACATTCGAAATTCGTTCATCTCTCTCTTCTCCCACACGGCTTTCGTACACACTCACATGTTCGCAGGCACCGCGCTGTGTGGGATGCATTCTTTGCATTTCGTCGAAATGATGATTATAGTGTAGTCCGGTGTGTTGCATTCGGTCACGAACTTCGCCGTCACGAAATCGCTGCTTACTGCCCAAATCATCACTGAGGCTGCTCAAAGTGGGTGAATCTTTCTACAGGTTCTTACTGACCCTGGCATTCGCTTTGGCTCCAGCAGCTGTTGATTTCCGCCTTTGCAAGAATCGAGCGGGCACGATCTCCTCAGGACTGGCCTCACTCATGGTTACTGCACGGGCTGAATTCTCGATCCAGACCATCAAAGCAGCGTCCTTTGCCTTTCACTTGCATTGAGTTTCTGCTCCGAAAAGGCTTCAGCCATGAGGTCTTTATTTTGTATCAAAGGCTCAGTCATATCCAGGAAACACTGGAAAGAGTGATCATTTTGCTTGACTGGAGGTAATCCGTCAAGTTGCCTTGCCATGTTGCACGATTGGAACGCCATCGCCCGACTCATCGGACTGCGGAATCGACCATCTGCCCGTTCTGTCCCTTCATGAGGAGGTTCATATCTGGCTTTTCCATTTTGACTGGCCTCTCCTCATCCTGTGATGCGTCGTTATGCATTCGCTTTTTCACTTCAGTCATTTCTTCATCCTGGGGTTCGTTAGTCCTGTCGCTTCTGCAGCTGCCAGATGTGGTTCGGTCACCATGTGCTGCTGCTGTGGTTCATGTGGCTGCTGCTGTTCTGTATCCGCTGCAGCTGCTGCCCCTTCATCTTCATCTTTGGGTGCGTCTTGCTGCAAGGCTTCAACTGCGTCTCCATCGGTTTTCTTTGGCTCATCTGCTTCATTCTTGTCAGCCGTTGCGTCAGCAAAAGCTGGGTCGCCAAAGAGATCTAAAAATCTGACAGGACCACGGACTGGATGCAACGCTTGACGCAATGTGGTCTCAACTGAGGCAGTACATGCAGTATGCGGAATGTGTTGCAATCTGGCATGACATTCACGAGGTGTTTCTGCTCGAAGGTGTTCTGGTGCAAAGCGAACCAGAGCTGATCCATGGGCAATCCAAGAAACTGTGGGCTGAGGTCCCGTAGTGGTGTCATCTCGCGGTCGGTTGCACAGCACAAACGATTCCAGGACCCCGCCAGCTACTGGGCTCGAGCTTCTGATCACCTGAACGCCAGTAGTGCGCCCAATCACCTGGATAGAACTGCCTAGCCTCAGATCGGCTTTTTGCTCATCAAGCCTTTACTTGCTTCGTAAAAGGCTTTTGCTGTAGTGAGGCGAAATTGTCGCAACTCCTGGTATGCCTTGGTGGGTTCCGCTGGATTGGTCATAGGTTCATCTATAAGTGCCTTGTCTACCGAAGTTCTTCCGAAAACTGTCTGAGCTGGAGAGGACCCGTGGATGTTGCGCAATTGATTGCGAAGAGAGCAAGCAACCGGAACCAGTTGTTCTAATGAGGCTTCTGGCTTGTCTTGCTGCCAAGGCGGTAGTGTGCCTTGTGGGGCGTCAATTCCAGTGAGATCCTCCTGCCTCTGTTCTCAGCTCAGTGGGGACACCAAATCCATCTATCCAAGCATCGAGGATTCGCAACTTTTCTCTTTCCGTCTCATTCTGGATCATGAAGATGTCAATCAATACCACAACCTTCTTCTTTTCATCAGTCCACTTGATGTGGAACACGTCTTTTTTCGGGACTTCATTGAAGTGCTTGGCCCGAAGGTTTGGCTGGCGTTTGCTGCTTGAATCTCTGACAGACATCACCTCAAA